GGACTTGAGAGGTAGACCAACGAGAAGGGAGTTGCAGTAGTCAGTTCGGGATGTAACCAGGGTGTTGACGAGGATGTCGGTACTGCTGGGAGTGAGGGACGGGTGGATGCGATTAATGTTACGAAGATGGAAATAAGCAGACTGGGTGACATTATTGATGTGAGCTTGGAATGATAGTGTGCTGTCTAGGATGACACCCAGACTCTTAACATGAGTGGAGGGAGAAACTGAGGAGTGTTCAATAGCCGGAGAAAAACTGTCGAGTTTAGAGATTGTTGATGAGGAGAAGCTCGGTTTTGTCACTGTTTAATTTGAGGAAGTTGCAGGTGAACCAGGATTTAATTTCTTGCAGGCCATCAGTCAGGGAAGTGGGCGGGAGGGAGGAGGTGGGTTTGGTGGACAGATAGAGCTGGGTGTCATCCGCATAGCAATGGAACTGGATGTTATACTTACGGAAGATATGGCCAAGAGGAAGGAGATAGATGATGAACAGAAGGGGGCCCAGGACAGAACCCTGAGGAACACCGGTAGTGACTGGAAATGGCTGGGATTTGAAGGTTCCGAGTTGAGTGAACTGAGTGCGACCGGAGAGATAGGATGAAAACCAGTGCAAGGGTGTGTCAGTGATTCCATTGGAGGCAAGTCTGTCAAGGAGTGTGTGATGGGAGATGGTGTCGAAGGCTGCACTTAGATCAAGGAGGATGAGGATGGTTAGAAGTCCGGCGTCAGCTGCCATGAGGAGGTCATTGGTGGTTTTTACCAGTGCTGTCTCTGTGCTATGGAGGGGGCGGAAACCAGACTGGAACTGTTCATAGAGGTTATTGTCAGACAAATGAGTGTGAACCTGAGATGCAACTGTTTTTTCAAGAATCTTTGATTGGAAGGGTAGATTAGAAATAGGACGAAAGTTATTGAAGTCATTTGGGTCTGCAGCAGGTTTCTTAAGTATAGGGTAGAGGTGGGCGATATGGGAAAAATATCATATCACGATTTTTATTTTGGCAAAATCACGATCACGATTTTATCACAATTTTTTTCATACTGATCTTTAGACAAATTTGTAAGTTACTGACCAGTTCAACCAAACTTATTTCCCTGTATAATGTTTTTAAATGCACAAAAACTGTGCAGACAAGTTTAATCTATTTGAAAAACATCTTTGTAGGAGGTCTGGAGGTCTCTCACCCAGAATATCTTTAGCAACAGAAACGTCTTTCCCTCCCTTTGATCAATATTTATGCACAATTTTCACCACTTTGAAATAATGATTTAGTTATGTGTCCTCTTTTTTTGTTCATCAGGAACATTTTCACGCAGTGATGCATTCATTTAAAAACATGTAGACTTCAAGTTCTTGTGTTTCTGTTCTATTTTAGCCCTGCAGAGTTCCTACAGCTGTAGCTTTATACAGGCTCCGCAGCCTTTGTTTATAGGTTTTGTTGTTTTTTTATGACATCATTGGACTAACTTTAGTTTTGTTTATATATAATCAAACACAATACAGAATGTGTTCATTCTGCAACACATGATCAAAGTAAGTTTTACCGAAAGAGGAGATTAATTCATAGAGGGGGCGGGACATCTTTGATTGACAGACAGACAGTCACCATGGTTACTCACTCTCACCTGCCTGCTGCACACTTCGTGTAACGTCGTTTAGTGTAATCCCTATAAATTCGGTAATCACAACAGGTGAGCTTCGGGTGGAGAGGATGATAATAACTTTTAAAAACTGAGAGAGAGCAGAAAACACCGACAGCAATATTTTAAACACCAGGGTTATATCTCCCATCACTGTCTGTCTGAGCTCCGCCCTGTCTGTCTCTCTGCAGACTGTTAACGTCTCTCCAGCTCGTTAAAAGGTTTCTTGTGTGACTATCCGAGATGTAAACTTAACTGTGCAAACTATGCGGATAAGTTAACTGTTGCTCACAGCGTGTCAGTTTGGAAAAATATCAGAACAGTTGCATATAACCGAGATGGAGTTGTTTTTGCGGACTTTAGGCTACTTTTAAGTTTTTGTTTTCACCGCTGCGGAGCAAAAGGGAGGGAGACGCGTCTGTGTTGGAGCGTAAACTGCAGCATGATAGAATAAACACATAAGCCCGATTTTACGATCTCCCTGCTTTGGCAGATCGTCAACAAGTTAAAATCCTTCACGATCTAAGATCGTCATATCGCCCACCACTAGTATAGGGGTTATTGAAGCTGACTTGAAAGAAATGGGAACAAGACCAGAGGTGAGGGAGGAATGTATGATGACCATTATTAGGGAAGACAGAGGGGGTAGGCAATAGGCATGCAACAATGCTCAAAAAAATATTGAACCGTTCGGTACGGCATCCATGGTTCAATACTGACTTGTAAATTGCGGTTTTAACGGTTTGGCGTTTAACTAGTTTTCGCGCATTGTATTTCTCTCTAAATTGGCAATTTTAGCATGGCAAGCAGTGAGGAGCAGCCAGGCTCATCGGGAGAACGGGGACAATTCCCGGTGGGCCGGGAATGTCAAAAACATGCATTAAAAGATAACTGTGGGTCCACGAGCCTGAGAGGGAGTGAGAGCTATACAGGTGAGCAAGAGTCGGGGAACGTGCCATTACGCATATAAGTGGACGGACAAGAAACAAAAAGTGAAATTGATCATCTGCTCTACGGTTTCCATGTTAACCAGTGAAGTATGTGAACTACATGGCAGGCTGCTGTCTGTTAACTAACTGATGTCTTTCAACATCAACTGAGTGCTCCTCTGTCTGTGTGTCTGCGTATCACCCTCAGTGTTCTTATTAAAAACTCTAAACTGCTCATAAACCACGTCTGAACCTTCAGTGTGAGGTTTGATGTCTTTTGAAATGTTCTTAAATTGTTTGAGCTGCTGTTAATACTCCAAATATTTACAATACTGAACATTACAAGAATAAGAGAGGAGCGATAATTGTAACTAAAAGACAAATTTGACAGTATACCACCAATGCACTTTTTTGTTGACATTCATTGAGCTAATTGTAGTTTACTTCATGTTCAAATCTAATCTGACCGTTGCAATAGGCTGAAAGGAGAGCACCTGAATTTGTTTTGCTTCAAAGTAAAATAAATAGTTTTAAAATGAAAAAAAGTAGCTCTCTTTCTAAATCCCTTGATGTTCTGTAAAATTAGTTTAAAACACTTAAAACTGGAAACATTTTAACGGCCCGGCCCGTCAGAACCGAACCGTGACCAAAAAACCGAGGTACGTATTGAACCGTGGGCTGACTGTATTGTTGCATCCCTAGTAGGCAAGCTTTTAAGAGGACAGTAGGAAGAGGGTCTAATGGACAGGCAGATGGTTTTGATTTCTGAATGAGGTCAGATAATTCAGCAACAGCAGGAAGTTTGAAACTTGAAAGTGAGCGAGAGAGAGGGGGTAAGAAGACTGGGAGAGATGAGATGTTAGGAGTCAGTTGCTGGTGAATCTTGTCTACTTGTTACATATTTATAAAAGAAATGTGGAAATATTGCCATACTAGATGACTGTATTATTATCCTCTCAGGCTCTTGCCCTGAGAGCTGCTTGCATAGTGACTGCCCATCACATCAGCCCTGAGTGGAACATGGTAAGCCCTGTTCTGCAAATTCAACCCATTTTAAAAAAGCCACTCAAGGTTGGACAACAAGTGAAAGACAGGAAGTCAACTTTCACCCAGGTAAAAGCCAGACATCTTCTGAAGGATGTCCATCTTTCCTTCATTGAGCTCATCCACTGTGACTGACACTGCTTCTGCTCAGAGAGTTACTGCTCATTTCATAGCCGTAGAAAAATTTCAAATTGAGATGAAAAAAATCCTAGAAACCAAGGTAGAAAGGTCAGGAGGTTCCTGTGGAGCTGATAGTCTCTAAATTCATTTGAAAGCACGCTGTTTCAACCTCATTGACAGCACAGTGCGCCAGCTTTACTGTAGCTCAGCTCGCCCAACAGCAATCTCTCTCCCAACTATCGTAACAGAGAATCCATTCATTCTCTTCAACAGAATTTAAATGTCATCATCCATAGCAACAAGTACACAGGACAAATGTAGCATTAACTTATCATGCTTCTATTGATCATGTCAATTAAAATATTAAAAGTAGGGCTGTTAACGTTAACGCGTTAATCAGTTTTTTAATGACAGTATCTGCAGTGATGGAAAAAAGCAGTGAAGTAATATCCCTGTGACATCAAACATTTCACTTTTTGTTGATGTATTTATGGGATTGTGTAGGCATTTATTTTAGAGATAGGACAGAATCAGAAACCAAGGAGAGAGAGTGGGGAATGACTTGTGGGAAAGGAGCTACAGGTCGGATTCAATCCCGGGCTGCCCGCTCTCCAGGACTTAATGATGATCAGGAGAAACCTTAGTCCTCACAGCCTTTGGCTACCGGTGCCCTCACTTTTTTTTTTTACACAACCTCTCCAGCTGGTTTCATTTACTTTGATTTGTTTTTTTCCTTTTTTCTGTGGTTAAGTTAATATAGTATCTTCAGTCTACCACAAGTTCCTTATTTTCTTTCAAAATAAAGGTAACCTAAGCGTAAGACAAAATTACAAAATAAAAGCATTAAACACTTTTTTTAAATTCAAAATAAGTGAATTCCAAACATGATTAAAATGTGGTCAATTCCAATCAACTATTGATTTTCAGCCTTTGAAAATGAAATCATTTGACAGCCCTTATTAATATTTAAAAAGCAGTCTAAGTACCGTTAATGTTTGTTTACTGTGTCCTGCAGATGTCCAGCAGCTGTTGGTGAGTAAAGAAGAGCTTCCACCTGAGCAGCAGGAGTGGAGCCACATTCTGGACCAGGAGGATACGAAGCCCCAACACATTAAAAAAGAACATGAGGAACTGTGGATCAGTCAGGAGGAAGAACAGCTTCAAGGACTGGAGGAGGCTGATACCGCGAAGTTCCCCTTCACTCCTGTCTCTGTGAAGAGTGAAGATGATGAAGAGAAACCTCAGTCCTCACAGCTTCATCAGAGACAAACTGAACAGATGGAAACAGGAGTTGATGGAGAGGACTGTGGAGGAGCAGAACCAGAGAGAGACTCAGATCCAGAGAGATGTTTACAACCAGAGACTGTGGTCGAGACTGAAGACTCTTATGGACCTGAGACTGATGACAGTCATGATTGGAAAGAGACAAGAGAACATCTGTTAGAATTAAACTTGAAAAATAAGAAACTAAAGACTGGTAAGAGACCACACAGCTGCTCGGAGTGTGGTAAAAGATTTAACCGAAAAGGGACTCTGACCAGACACATGTTAGTTCATAAAGGAGAGAAACCTTACAGCTGCTCTGAGTGTGGTAAAAGTTTTACCCAAAGAGGAAGTCTGACCACACACATGTTAATTCATACAGGTGAGAAAGCCTTCAGCTGCTCTATTTGCAGTAAATGTTTTACACATAGACAAAATCTGACCAGTCACATGTTAGTTCATACAGGAGAGAAAGCCTTCAGCTGTTCTGAGTGTGAAAAAAGATTTACCCTAAGAGTAAATCTGACCAGTCACATGTTAGTTCATACAGGAGAGAAACCCTTCAGCTGCTCTGTTTGCAGTAAAAGCTTTACCCGAGGAGAACATCTGACCAGACACATGTTAGTTCATACAGGAGAGAAACCCTTCAGCTGCTCTGTTTGCAGTAAAAGCTTTACCCGAGGAGAACATCTGACCAGACACATGTTAGTTCATACAGGAGAGAAAGCTTTCAGCTGCTCTGTTTGCAGTAAAAGCTTTACCCAAAGAGGAAATCTAACCAATCACAAGATGAGTCACACAGGAGAGAAACCTTTCAGCTGCTCTGAGTGTGGTAAAAGGTTAAGTTCTAAGGCAGAGCTGACCAGACACATGATGATTCACACAGGAGAGAAACCTTTCAGCTGCTCTGAGTGTGGTAAAAGGTTTAGTTCCAAGAGATATCTGACCAGACACATGATGATTCACACAGGAGAGAAATGCTAATCCTGTGCAATGGTAAAACTGATCCAAAGGATTCCAAGTTAACAACATCACTAATGTGTAGTCAGAAGTATGTATTGACTAACAGATGTATAACTGTTGTTGTAAAGGGATATAAGACAATTATAATCACAGGAATCTGTCTGTACTTTTTGACATTTATGTTTTGTTGCCGACATATACCAGTAAGTTGGGATCAGCTATGACGTTTGAATTTAAAGTGTTTATATTGTTGAAAGATCAGCAGAAGAGTTATGCAATTGTTGAATTTGTTTTTATCATATATTTACTTTTTCTTTTATTATCATTAAATCCATTTATCATTAACATCATATATTTACATTTTCTTTTGTTATCACTTAATCATTTCATCATGTTCATTCATATGTCATATAGTCGCTACGACTTTTGGTTTTTGGCTTTTATATTTCTTGTCAATCCTACACACACCCGCGGTGCCTACGCACCTGTGAGGTCAGGATAAGTGTGCCAGGCTTTGAGCAAAACCACATACAAGCTCGTAGGTGTATAGCGTTTCTGTGTATCTTTCTGGTTCACCGTCTTCGAGCTAAAACCACATATGAACTTAGTATCACCTGTGTTACCTTGTATGCTTTGACATCAAAACCACATCTGAACTTGGTTGAACTTGGTATCAACTGTGGATGTATCTCATTTCTGCAAATATTCATTGTTGAGGCTTTACAGAATCTTGGACAAAAGCGACCGTCTGGCTATAAAAACTCTGTGGAAAAGCTGATCGGGGTTCTTTTTTACTTTTCTAAAGAACTCCACGTCACTCTGACTTTTGAATCCCCATTTTGGGACTTAGTCTCTGAGACCAAGATCTTTTAAAACCTCAAGTGTCTACACTCTCGGGTTTATACTTTGGTCTTTGTGTTTTGCTTTTCTTTTTACATTTTTATATTTTTACTTTTACTGTTTTATATTTGCATTTGGAATATCATTTGAAGTTTTTTAATACATTTTCGGAAACGTTTTGAAATCATTTTCTGACTGAAATTATTCACACCACAAAGACCGGAGTCTTGTTTAAGGACCCCGTGAACCTCGGAAGGTAAGCTTGAGCTGTCACACCACAACACACTTCTACTGACTTTTACTACACACCTCATACACACCTAACATCCTAGCGGGGAGAGATTACAGTTATTCCCTCTCTGGAGGGTAATCTAGAGTCCTATACCAAAGGTTATTCTTGAATCTAATTATTCTAGAAATGAATGTTAGGCAGATAATCCTAGGGCTGTGATTATAGCAAGTCCTCTGTCCTCCAAAGGGTGTTAGCGGAGTAATTTTACATAGCTCCAGGTACTAGGAAAGAGTAGACTAGCGGCTGGTAGGGAGTGAGCTCTCACTTAGTTCTAGGAAAGAGTAGCCTAGTTAACTAATGGGTGGTGAGCTTCCGTTAGCTATAGTAAAGTTATTCACCCCTTTTGTGCATGTCCAGGACATGCTACAATATGAAACAGTTACAGTGTAAGGATTCTTCTTCTCTCCTGATATCTTCTCTTCTTTCTGTCACTCTGTTTCCTTGGAGGCCTCTGTGTTGGGTAGCACAAGTTCTTCAAACAGCTCGTGTAACTGTAGCAGCCCTCGACCAAGACAACATATGAGGAAGCGTGGAGTTCGACTGATGCGATTTATTTCTTTCTTTTTGAGCACTGTGAAACTAGAAAAAAGGCAAAATAAAGCCAAAATTAACATTCAGAAAACAGTGTGTTCAATTCATTACAGATATATAAGTATTTACAATTCATTCCTAAACAAACATTTCATAGTGCAACATTTTACTTTAAACAAACACAAACAATAACATCCACATCACAACAGACCTGATTCAAACACACAACACATCACATTAAACACTTACGACAATATTGCACAATCCCTTATAGTAGCAAACCTCCCAATTCATTCATAAATCATTCAATCATTCCTTCCCAAATTACGCATGTACCTCGCGCCTCTTGACAAGGGTGCAAACTTTCATCGTTGGACACAGCGATCTCCATAAACCTTCCAACCTTCATGCTTAATGGTAAACCATAAAACGTGTATCGTAGTATCGCGTTTGGAGCAAACAAACAATTGACCATTACAAACAAATTAGCCGTGCACATACTGTAACTCTGCTCAAGCCCCCCTGCCTGCTCGCCGTGAGTGACGAGCTGAGTGTGACACATGCGCTAAAACATGTAATTCATGTTCTGGGGTGGAGCAACAACAAACAAACCAAATAGGCTCCTTTGGCCACTTACAGTAACCTTGTAATAAATAAACTGATGTAGAGTGATGTGTTATTTTGTGCCGAAAGTCTCTTTGGTAAAGAAAAGTAAACTGAAAACCTTTAGCCCTTAATAAGAATCCTGCAGTCAGAATACAAAACAAAGAAAATCTCAATGACACCTGAACATGCACAGGATTAATTAAGAGTGCAGCAGGTGGCCAACACAAGGACTTTGAATGTTTGGTCTAAGGATATAGAGGAGGACCTGCAGGAGTGCTTCAATGTCACAGACTGGGAACTGTTTAATGAGGAATATGGTGATGACATTGAAGGCCTCTCTCATTGTATTACAGACTACATCCGTTTCTGTGAGGACACCATAGTCCCTACCAAAAAGGTCCACTGCTTCTCAAACAACAAACCATGGATCAATAAAGACATTAAAGCTCTCCTCAACAGAAAGAAGAGGACCTTCATGACTAGGGATCGTGAGGAGCTCAAGGCTGTCCAAAAGGAGTTAAAGAAGAAGCTGAGAGAGGCCAAGAACAACTTCAAGGACAAGACTGAGGCCAAGATGAACAACTCAAAGGAGGTGTGGAATGGCATGAAGCAGATGATGGGCTGCAGCAGGCCGGAACCCAGAATTAAAGGAGACCCAGTATTTGCTGCTGAGTTGAACCTATTTTTCAATAGGTTTGACACATCCCCCGACCCAGTGAGCTCAAATAGTGGGGCTAGGTCTCACCCCACCACCTCAGCCCCCATTCACACCTCTGTTGGAGACTCTGCTCTTCCTCCCATCAAGGTCCTGACCACCTCCCCCCCCCTCTCAGCTCTTCACCAGCAGCTTCAAAGGACAGCCCCCCCTCACCCCCCAGCTCCCTCCCTTCAGGTACCTGCATGACAATAGACAGTTCTCCACACTCCTCCCCACTCACTGTCTCACTCTCACTCTTACTACCAGCCAGGTACAAAGAGAACTCTCCAGACTCCACATCAGAAAAGCCAGTGGACCAGACAACATCAGTCCCAGGATCCTCAAGGTGTGTTCTGGGTAGCTTGCAGGAGTCTTTCAGCACCTCTTCAACCTCTCCCTGAGGCTGATGAAGGTGCCTGACCTGTGGAAGACGTCCTGCATCGTCCCAGTTCCAAAGAAAGGTCGTCCCAGTGCTCTCAATGACTACAGACCTGTGGCACTCACGTCACATGTCATGAAGACATTTGAGATGCTGATTCTCCAGCACCTGAGGACCCTGCTCACTGCTTTCCAGGATCTGTTGCAGTTTGCATATCAGAGGCACATTGGTGTGGAGGATGCTATCATCTTCCTGACCCACAAAGCCCTGCCACACCTGGAGACGAGAGGAAGCACTGTGAGAGTCATGTTCTTTGACTTCTCCAGTGCTTTCAATACCATCCAGCCCTGCCTCCTGAGGGACAAACTGCTGGATATGCAGCTGCACCCTGACACCACAGCCTGGATTTTTAACTCCCTCACGGGCCGGCCACAGTATGTCAGAGTGGACGGCTGTGTCGCTGATGTAATGACGGGCAACACAGGAGTACCTCAAGGAACTGTTCTGGCGCCTTTTCTCTTCACTCTCTTCACGTCGGACTTCAGGTTGAACTCTAGTTTCTGCCACCTCCAAAAGTTTTCCGACGACTCCTCCATTGTTGGGTGCATCACTGATGACGATGAGAAGGAGTACAGAGGACTGTTAGAGAGCTTTGTCACATGGTGCGAAAGCAACCACCTGAAGCTCAACATCAGCAAAACAAAGGAGGTGGGTAGTGGACTACCGGAAGAAGAAGAGGCCCCCTGCCCCAGTCATCATCCAGGGGGAGGAAGTGGAGAGGGTGGACTCATACAAGTACCTTGGGGTCCACATCAACAATAAACTGGACTGGTCTCACAACTCTGACGCCCTCTTCAGGAAGGGACAGAGCAGGATGTTCTTCCTGAGGAGACTCAGATCGTTCAGTGTCTGCAACAGACTCCTGAAGACCTTTTACCAGTCTGTGGTGGCCAGCGCCCTCTTCTTTGCTGTGGTGTTCTGGTGGGGTGGCATCAAGACTGGTGAGGCAAAGAGGCTGAACAAGCTGGTGAGGAAGGCCCGCTCTGTAATGGGTCTTGATCTGGACACTTTGGAGTCAGTGGCTGAGAGGAGGATGAAGGACAAAATCTTATCCACCCTGGATAACTCCTCTCATCCTCTACATGGTGAGCTGTGGCAGATGGGCAGCTCCTTCAACCAACGCCTCGCCTCACCCCCCCCCCACAGGTGCAAAACAGAACGCTTCAGCGCTTTGTGCCCACTGCCATAAGACTTTATAACAGCAACCAATGACAACAATAACAGTCCGTCCTGACACAAAACTTCACCCCCATAAAACACTACCCACATGACCTGCTTCATTATTATCATTACTAACATTGTATTATTATTATTTTTATTACTATTATTATTATTTAGCCTGAATATATATGTACATACATACTGTACATTCTATATATTTTATTATATTATTACATTAGTCTATAAAGATAAAGATAAACTTTATTGATCTCCCATGGGGGAAATTTTTGCATTACAGCAGCTCAAGAAACAGGAAACAGGAATATAATTATTAAAAATAAAAATAGAAGTTTAAAATTAAACATATTTACATCAGTTAAATAAAAAAATACAATAATAGAAAATTACACGGTATCTACACTTCCACTTGTGGAAAGACT